TAAGTAGGTGCTTTAGACCACTGAGCCATCTCACCAGCCCTCTAAGCTCGTTTTTAAAAATTTTTTTTTTCTTCAGCTAGCACAGAAGAGATGATTTATTGTACTTGCTTTACACTCAGCCAAAAGCGAAAACAGAGTTCCTAAATGATTCCCCAAAAGCTCTGCTTGCACTGGGCCCACAGATTGCAGCATCCCACAGGCCTCTCAGAGTTCTCCTAAGTTCTTAAAAGTTTGGACTGGCTCCAGCAGAAGGTCCATACCTGCATGCTGGGGGTTAAGGCAGATCAGAGCTTATCAGAGTCCCACAGGCTGCCCGAAGCTCTTAAATGGCACCAGGAGAGCCTCTTTTTTTGGTCTTTTTCAGACAGGGCCTTGCTATGCAGGTCAGGCTGGCCTTGAACTTTGGAGCCCACTCTGGTCTCTTAACTCACAATAATCTTCCTACATCAGCCTCCCAAGTGTTGGGAGTATAGGCATGTGCTACCATGCCCAGATGTGCCTGCTTCCCCCCCCTCCTTTTTTTTTTTCAGAGAAAAAATTTTTTTTCAAAATGTTATTGATAAACAGATAGCAATGAGACAGTTTCAAATCAAATCGGAAGTACAGTTTCAACAAATAACACACTGCCTATATTCTTAATGGTTAATTGCTGTATAAGATGTGGACTTGAGATCCTATTTACAAACATCATTAGAACAAATCATTCTATTCATTAAGAGAATGCAACTATATATCTATCCTAACCACTTTGAATACACAGATAAAAAATAGACATTCATTGGTATACCCCATTTTTTCTAAGTTCCGTTATTGAATATTATAGGTCCCCTCCTTTTTTGAAACACAAATAAGTGTTAAATTTAGTCAGATACCTTTTTTTGGGTGGGCATTGAAACAAGGTCTTGTTATGTAGTTTAGGCTGGCCTTGAACTCACTAGCCCAAGCTGGCTTCCAACTCATGCAATTGTCCTGCCCCATCCTCCCAAGTGCTGGGGTTTCAGGTGGGTGGCAACATGCCCGGCTACAGAAATCTCTTAAAATAAGTATGTTTTCTGGGTGTAACTTAAGGGGAAAAGGGCTAATGTAATATTTCTGACAAAATTTTTAAAAAATATATGTTTAAATATTGACATCTAATGAAATAATATTTCCTTCTAAGTAAATATTTTAATAGCGTGAAAACTCATTGGATGATTTTGTTTTGTTCCAGGATAAATGCTGTGTCCAATGCACAGGTGAGAGGTGACAGCTATGAAACCGGCTGTCTAGGAAGAACAGGTAAAGGCATTGTGAACTGTGGATAGATACAGGCAAGGTAGGGCATACATA